AAAGTGATGAGGATTCAGAATGAAATTTTTCCCATCCTAAGCAAACTCTGATGCAGTTTCTAAAGTTTCAGTTATACACACCGTACACAGAGTAATCTCCTTGGATTGGAAACAAGAAGTGTCACAAAAGCAGTTCAGCCATGGCCAGTGTGCTCATTAGAGCATCTGCCTGAGCACAGAATGGTCTCAGGTTCAATTTCCGGTAAGGGTATGTACATGGGTTGCAGGATTGATCCCAAGACAGGGTACGGGTGGCAACCAATCCATGTGTCTCTCTCACATTGATGTTTCTCTTTCTCTCCTTCCCTCTATCCCTATCTTAACTCTAAAAATTAATGGGGGGAAATATCCTTGGTTTTAAAAAGCAGTTCAAACCTAAAATTGTATTTTAATATTAGCTGAATATAAATGTGCCACAGAGTGGGAAAAGAAAGAAAAAAGGAAAGGAGGGAGGGAGGGAGAAGGGGAGCAAGAAATGAGGGAGGGAAGAAAAAAAATAGCTAGAAACCAAGTCACCTTAGTGGCTATGTGCTCATGACAATACTAAGACAACATTAGCACAAGTTGGAACTTCAGAGCTGAAGCTGATACCTCAAAATCCCCGAATGAATAAAAAATTAAATGGGATTATAAAGATCACAGAAAGTATTAGTAATATCTACTGCTGGGGAAAAAAAACAAAAAACTGGAGAGCAGGCCTCCAAATGTATCTTTTATTTGCTTCCTCTGCTAGCATAAAAGGCTTTCTGGTCACATTAAGCTGTTAAAATAATGTACAGATGCATCGCTTTTCAGCTGAAAAGGACCCTCAGGACCGACCACTCGGTAGTTCTCCTCACTAGAAAGATGAGAGAGAAGCCTCATGTTCGGCAATGGACAGGACAGCCCTGAGAAACCCGTTTTCCCAGCGGCTCCTCGTTGTGAAGGAGCATTTCGTGGGGGTGTCCTACCCCTGCCCTCTCCTGTTGGCACATTCTTTCTGAACTACCGTGTTTCCCCGAAAATAAGACATCCTCCGAAAACAAGACTTAGCGCATGGAAAGATAAGACATCCCCTGAAAATAAGACCTACCGCAACTTTGGGAGAAAAAAATTAAGACACTCTCTTATTTTCGGGGAAACAGGGCAGATAGAGTGTTGTAAGCTTATTCCGTAGCTTGATGCAAACGGCCGACACCTGCGGGAGCAAGATAAGGGACACCACCCAACCCACTCGGGCCCTTCCCTCCACCTGGCCGGGTTGTGCCTGCCATCCTCCAAGGGCACGTCCTGCTATTCAGGCAGCTGGCACGGCGGGCTGATGCAACCCTCACCCAGGCCCTATCTAAGAGGACATCAACACCCCTCGGTGCTGACACAGACAGGTCTCGGCTCACTGTGTGAGAATGTGAGAGAATTTCTTAAGCTCTCACAGCATCTCCTGTCCTGGCTCCTGTGGGCCCGGACCCAACACGTTTAAACCCAGCCGTGTCTAAACAGTCGGCTCAGGCCACAGCGGACTCTGGGACCAGGTCCCCTCTGGCCCAAACTCACAGACTGGGCCCTGCTGCTCCCTTCCCAGGCCACCATGAGGCCAGGGATTACATTAGTGTCCTCCATGTAACCATAAAGCTTGGGAATGTACCACACGGTCCAGATTCTAGAACTATCTGTGTTCTCTTGTCAAAGTACCCCGGCCCCCACCTCAAAAGGTTATGGGTGAGAAGATGGCAGAGGAGGTAAATGCTGCCTCCCACAAAAAAAAAAAAAAAAAAAAAAAAAAAAAAAAAAAAACACACATCAAAATGACAACTGAAATACTGATCCACCATCACCCAGAACCGCTGGAGAGCTGGCTGAATGGAAGCCTACAGCTAGAGAAGTAAAGGAGAAAGCACGCTGAGACTGGAAGGAGGTGCAGAGGCGCAGAACAGGCTGGGCCGGCACCCAAGCGTGCTGCTTTCCTAATCGGGAGGGAGATTGCCTCTATGGAGGCCGCCCGAAGAGGCAACGGGTGCCAGCCTCACACCAGCCCCCAGCCCAGGGCCCCAGAGCTGGGAAAAGAAGTCCCTGGGGGCAGTAGGAGCTACAGTCTTTAAAAACCAGTGCTCACGGGGGCTCAGTGACCCAGAGGCTGGCCTAAACTCACAGACTTGGTCCTGCTGCTCCCTTCCCAGACCACCATGGGGCCATGGATTACATTAGTGTCCTTCATGTAACGATAGAGCTACTTGGTAAATCTAATGAACAGAATAAACTGGTGAATAAAATAGAATCAGAGGCATGGGAATGGAACAGACTGAGAGTTCTCAGAAGGAAGGGGGTGGAGAGGCGGGAAGAGATTAAATACAGATCTTATTTGCATGTATGTATTACCTATGGACCCTATGGACACAGACAATAGAGTGGTGAAGACCTGGGGCCAGGTGGGAACTAGGTGGAAGGGGGTAAGGGGGGAGAGGAGGGACATCTGTAATAATCTCAATAATAAAGTTTTGTTGTTGTTGTTGTTTTGTTTTGTTTTTAAAGAGGGTTGAGAGGTTAAAAAAAAAATGGTTGTGGATGAACATGAGGGCTTGGAACACACCTTCTTTACCTTTGTATCCTGGGAGTGGGAGCGAGATAAGGGCCACCTGGCATATAGTAGGTGTTCAATAAACTTTGTGAGGGCTAGTAAGTGTCCAGCAGGACAATAGCTGTGGGGGTAGGAGTGTGTAGGAGGAGGAGAGAAAATGTATCAAGTTGGGTGGGAACTGTGAGAAAGGTGAAAGATGACCACTCTGTGCAGACTGACTCTTGGAAGTGAAGATGTCAAAAGACAACAGAAGTGTTTATCACGAGTTGCAGCCAAGCTGTTCTCTTCCGGGGAACGATCAATGAGAGAAAGCAGACTGGACACCAGATTCTGCCAAAGTAGAAATCCAATGGTAAAGGCACACCTAACCTTAGGGTATAAAACTAACATAACAGCCTCAACTTTTCTTAAATTTACGTCTTCGCACGTGGGTGAACCTATATCGAGGTGGCGCGAACACTTATCCTCAGGAGGGTGGAGCAGAGCCCGGAGGTGGGCAGGAGGGGGACGTGAGGAGGGGGAACACTTGGAAATCCAGAGATGCGGACCCCAACCGACCGGGCAGCCTGACACCATCACCTTCCGCATACCTTTCCGGGACGGGCGGGGGAGCGGCGGCGCCTGGGCATCCACTGGGCGCCGCCTCGAACTGGGACCTACGACGGGCAGACCCGCGGGTATCTCCCAGCGCCTGGACCACCTGAGGCCGCCGAGTGTTGGCTCCGTTGTCAGGGAGACGGCGCGGAGCATGCCGGGAAGTCGGGGAGGCGGCCGGGAGCCTGTCACCGGGCGGAAGTGTGCTCGAACTCCAGAGGGCGGGGAAGAGCGGCCGGCGCCGCGGGTCCCGCTGCTCTCACCTGGCAGCGGCCACTTCGGAGCGGACTGGCCGGCCTTCCTCAGGGACCTCGCGGCCAGCGCCTGCTCCCCCCGCGCAGTCCGGCGCCGCTGGCTCCAAGGACCCGTGCTCCCCGGTGACGTGCACCCGGAGACTTCCTGTCCCCGCTCCAGGTGCGGGGCTGTGGCTGCTGCGGGTCCTTGCCTGGCCCTCGGGCGTTTGATGCGGGGCTGGTCGGGCCGGAGCAGTGCGGGGGGCATTCGGGGGGACCTGACAGGTGGGCTCTGCTGAGGGTCCCGCTGGCGGGTCGTGGGCACCCGGGTGGCTGGTGTGGGAAGGCCTGTTGGAGGACTCAGATCAAACCACTTGTGCGTTTGCTCCTGCCCAGCGCGCCTTTGCTGGGACGCCTGTGCCAGCCCCCGTCCTTAGCTGAGGATGAGCTGACAGGGGTCTTCACAAGACAAACTTCTAAAGAAATAAGCAGTATACGGGTGAAGTGAGTCAGATGCAGAGTGCAAGGGGAGGCCCCAAAACTGGATCAAGATACATTTTAATACACTATCTTTATTTTATTTGTAGAGAAGATATTTTTTCCATTGATTTTTTTTTTTTTAAGAGTGAAAGAGGGAGGGAGAGGGAGAAAGAAAAACCCATATTAGAAAGACACATACCTTGGTTGTCTCCTGCACACGCCCTGACTAGGGCTAGGAATCCAACCAGCAACCCAGATAAGTGTCCTTGACCTGGAATAGAACCCATAACCCGCTGGTGTGCATGCCAACGCTCCAACCACTGAGCAACACTGGCCAGGCTTAATGCAGTATTTTTAAAAATAAAAATTAATGCAAAAAAATTTTCCATGTTTGACAATCTCACGATTTTGTAACAGAACCATGCTGAGCCATTTTGGAATCTAAAGTCAAAGGGAATACTGATTCTGTGACTGAAGTTAGCCAGATGCTGAAGGATATTGTTGGTAACTGGGCCAGACAGGCAAAGACGAAGATGAGAAGAGTCTCTGGTTGGGGTAAAGCTGGACAGTTAGATGCCTTGAGCCAATGCCTGAAAGAAGTTTCCAGACTGATTTTCAAGAAAAGAGCCATATCATTGACCCTACACACTCTAATTAACTGAATCCCAATGCTTTGTGATCTATATTAATTATGAGATTGAGAAGTATATGATTTTTATGGCTTATGACTTTCTACTTTGAACCCACAAAACAGATATTCTGTGTCATGTGATGGCGACTATTTCCTATCTCAATATCAATTCCACAGTTCTATATAGTATGGCGATAGTGGACATTGATTTTTTCCTTAGAATCATCAGCATTTGTATCCAAAGATCAAACACAAAACTATGGACTCTATGCCTTGTAACACAAGGGAAAGGCAAAATAAAAGAATGAAAAAGCACTCAGCTAGTTGGTCTCAACTAGATAAGAATTGAGAGGCTCACACCTAATATGTTGGATTTAGAGAGTTTTATATCATTTGTTGTTGATTTGCTGGTGCTGGAAACAATGGCATGTTCCCCTGTAACCAATTTGTAACCAACATCAGTTGAAAGTGTGTTCTGTTGTCTTAAACAGGAAATTCTTCAGACATCATGGGCATCCGAGGACTAATGAGTTTTGTGGAAGATCACAGTAATGAGTTCTTTACTGACCTGAAGTTGCGAGACACCAAAATTATCATTGATGGCTATGCCCTCTTCCACCGGCTTTGCTTCAACTCACACTTGGAGCTCCGGTACGGAGGGGACTATGATGCTTTTGCAGATGTTGCACAAAACTTCTTCGAATCACTGTTTTCTTGTAATATATGCCCGTATGTTGTCTTAGATGGAGGGTGTGACATTTCGGATAAAAAGCTTACAACGCTGAAGGATCGAGCAAGAGAGAAGATCCAGGCGGCCCATTCCCTTTCTGTTGGTGGGAGTGGGTGTGTCTGTCCCCTTCTCACCCGGGAAGTGTTCATACAAGTTTTGGTCAGGCTGCGGGTACCTTTTGTCCAGTGCTTTTCGGAAGCGGATCGGGACATTATGACGCTGGCTAATCATTGGAATTGCCCTGTGCTGTCATCGGATAGCGACTTTTGCATTTTTGACCTGAAAGCTGGGTTTTGTCCATTGAATAGCTTTCAGTGGAGAAACGTGAACACTATTAAGAGCACGCAGGGCCGTTACATTCCCGCCAAATGCTTTTCTCGTGATGCGCTCTGCCACTACTTCAGCAACATGAACAAAGATCTACTCCCTCTCTTTGCGGTGCTGTGCGGGAACGACCACGTTCATCTGCCCAGCATGGACACGGTGTTAAGTCAGGTGCGCCTTCCTCCTGGAGCTGCCAGCGCCAAGGGGAGGAGACACTACCGAATTGTGGGCCTTCTGAGCTGGTTGTCTCGTTTTGCTGGCCCCACTGAAGCCCTAGATAATGTCCTGAAATATCTCCCGAAAAAGGATCGAGAAAGTGTCCGGGAACTTCTCTGTTGTTCCATGGAAGAATACCAGCCGTCCCAGGTGATGCTGCAGGACTTCTTCCGGCGAAGGACGTACGCCTGTCCGGAGGCCTTGGGTCTGGGTGTGCCAGAATGGGTCCTCGTGGCTTTGGCCAGAGGTCAGCTGGCTCCTTTCATCAGCGATGCCTTGGTGCTAAGACGGACCTTTCTTCACACACAAGTGGAAGACATGCAGCAGCCAAATGCCCACAGAGTATCTCTGCCCATCCGGCAAGTCATGTACGGGCTGCTTTCCAATGCCTCCGCACCCCTGGGGAGTGCACCCTTGAACGCGTCGCCTCCTCGGCCTTTGGCTTTCAGCGAGGTGGAAAGGATTAGGAAAAACATCAAAATATCGATTGTTGATGCCGTAAACCTGCCCAAGGATCATTCTGACTTAAGCAAATTGACTGAGGTGAGTGTAATACTAATGTAATTTTTGTAAAGCATTTTACAGGTTTCAGGGTGCTTTCCTGCAGATTATCTCTTGTAACGTTAACAAACTGAGATCGGTTGCCACATTGCACCCATTTCTTAGCTGAGAAAGCGGAGCTCACCGTGGTAACTATGTGAGACCTCAGCCAGGGAGTGTCGGTGCCAGGACTCACACCTAGATCTTTGGTGCCAAATATGCCATTTCCCTGTACTTCCGTGGTCTGTGTTATCTCTGAAAGTATCAGTACTACTTTGCTGTTACTTAGCTATCCATACAATGGGGTTATGTGGCAAAATAATAATAATAATAATAATAATAATAATAGGGAAAAAATTCTGAGCTACAAAAGAAAGTGTGCCTGAAGACATTGATAATACAAGGTTACTTATAACTAACAAAATACAAGATTAATTACAAGTTACTATACTCAGGGACGCCCCAGGATGACTGGCAGTTCTGCAAGTCATTTTTATCATGCTAAGTAACACAGCTACTTCGCCACATTTCCAGGGTTACAAAACTAGAAACTTGACCATAGGTCAAATGCCAAACAGAAAGTATTTTTTTTTTTTTAACATTTTACCCACTCCCATAAAATTGAAAGCAACATTCTGAAGGATATTTTGTTGAAATTAGATCTCTACTCATAACAAAAATGGTGCTAAGAGATATGTCAAGTGGTCTTGTAAAGAGTTCTTCTTCTCCCTTTACACCCTTGCTGATAGCTGGTATTTTTCTATCCTTTTAGCTATTTTGGTTATTGTGTAGTGGCATCATCAGATTTCTTATAATACACAGGGCAGTCCCCTACAGCAAAGAATTATCTTGCCCATAATGCCAATCCCTGCCTTACACGGCCTCCCGTTATTGACAGCTCAGACAGGAGGAAACAAGATTCTCATCAGGTAGGTACGAGAGCCTCTTTGGTCATGGTGAATGACTGCCAGTGGGAACACAGGGTTTCTTTTTTGGTAGATGGAATGTTCTAGAATTAGTGATTGTTGCACAAGTTGCCCAAGTTGAAATTTTAGTTCCCTCTCTATGCAGTGATATCATTTGGCTTCCCCTTGGCATACGCTAATCAATTCTGTATTCAGCTCGACGCTAGCTCTCATTAGCCCACAGTAATTCTAAACAGTATCAAAAGCCACTTCAAAAGGATGAATTTTATGACATTAATTATCTCAATTAAAGAAAGAAAAGGTCTCATTGACCTTCTTTCCCACAGGATCCATCCTTTCTTGTAACAATTCCGTAGACATCCCTTCGAGGGCCCTGCAAATACAAGGTTAATTACAAGTCACTGTACTCAGGGAAGTCCCATGATATGGTGTCCCACCATCTGGTGTTTAGAGTTTATTCATACTTTAAGTCTAGATGCAGCTTTACAAGTCATTTTTATCATGCTAAGTAACACAGCTACTTTGCCACATTTCCAGGGTTACAGAACTAGAAACTTGACCATAGGTCAAATGCCAAGCAGAAAGAATTTATTAACATTTTACCCACACCAATAAAATTGAAATTACCAACATTCTGAAGGATATTTTGTTGAAATTACATCTCTACTCATAACAAAAATGGTACTATAGTGGAGTTTTTCTTTTTTTTTTTTTTTTTAATTTATGGCTTTGTTGAGAAATAATTGATGTGTAATGAAGTGCCTGTAGTTTAAGTGTGTACTTCTATGAGTTTTGATGTATGTTTATATCTGTGAATCCATCCTGCAATTAAAATAAGGAATATATCCATCACTCCTCTTGCCTCTTTGCAATTAATTCCTTCTTGAGTTTGCACATACGGTAGAGTGCTCAGAAAGTGATACAGCAATTTTCAAACCAACAGCACACTTCCATGTAAAGAACACCCAGAGGAAGACTGTCAGCACCCCAGAAGCTTTCCCTCGTGTCTGGTGCTGGTCACCCCCCTTCATGCCCTCTGTAATCACTATCCTGACCTCTTAACATTTAAGAGTTTTGACTGATTTTATAATTCATAAAAATGAAATCATACAGTATGAATTCTTTCACCTGGCTTCTTACATTCAATGTGGTGTTTGTGAGATTTATTCCTATCTTTGTGTGTAGTTGCAGAAAATTCATTTCTCATTGCTATATATTTTTACAACTTGGGAATATACCAAAATAGTTTTCCCACTTTATAGCTGATGGACATTTGGGTAGTTTGCATTTTGGGCTATTATGAATAGTGTTATGAACATCTCAGTGCACATCTTTTAGTGAAAATATGAACACATTTCTATTGCATAACTAGGAGTGGAATTGTTGAGTTATAGGATACACATATGTTCAGCTTGGAAGATATATGTCAAGTGGTCTTGTAAAGAGTTCATCTCCCTTTACACCCTTGCTGATAGCTGGTATTTTTTTATTCTTTTAGCTATTTTGGTTGTTGTGTAGTGGCATTATTTTAGCCAATTTTAGGGGTGTTAATTTGCACTTTTCTGCTGACTTATTTGAGCACCTTTTCATGTGTTCAGTGGTCATTTGGACATTCTATTATATAAGTTTATGTTCAAAGACTAGGGAATTTTCCTGATATATGTGTGTGTGTGTGTGTGTGTTGTTAAATAGCATGTATTGTGAATAGCCTTTCCTATTCTGTGGGTTGTCTTTTAACTTTAGTATGTTTTGATGAACAGAACTTGTTAATATAGACAAATTTAAATATTTATAATCTATGGTTATTACTTTTCTGAGTTAAGATCATGAAAATATTTTCTTTGCCTTTCATATTTAGATCAAAAATCTACCTAGAATTGATTTGTTTCCATATAGTGTGATATAGGGATCAGGACATTTTTTCCCACATAGGAAAATCCAGTTGAGTCAGTGAGTGTTGGAGGCTGATTATATGCCTTGCAAAGTGGAGATGACAAGTGTTCTTCTCATCACTTAACTGTATGCAAAGTAAGGTGAAATTTTAGTTCCCTTTCTATGCAGTGATAACATTTGGCTTCCCCTTGGCATAAGCTAATCAATCAATTCTGTATTCAGCTCAATGCTAACTCTCATTAGCCCACAATAATTTTAAACAGTGTCAAGTGCAAATGTGATTCCAGAGACAAATGCAGGTACGAATATAGGAATTTTGTGGTAGAATCTGTTTTTCTTAACATGATGTGGTAATGATACTTTATCTGCTTTGTGCCAACTGTTGTAATAGAAAGTTTATAGTCTCATTTAATTCCCACTGTAAGTACATTTGGGAAATGTTAATTGCAGTGGACAGAGCACCACTCCAGCTAACCAACAAGTGGATAATCGTAAGGAGAAATGGAAGAGGGTTCTTCTTGGGGAGTAAGGCAGTGTCACAACCAGCCTCTCTGGGCATCTCTGCCTGTGTGGCAGCTTCTTCTGCAGGCTTACGCTGTCCATCCTCATGGGAGTTGTCACACTGGATAAAACCCAATCAGAATTAAGGGCTGTGCGTAGAGTTGTTTCCCTTTTGGAAGGAGCTAAGGACTGGTGGGTTCCATGGGACATTTTGTGTCACTCACTGTAATGCCCATTTTACAGTGGATCAGACTGACTATAGAAAAGCTCAGAAACTTGCCCAAGGCCGTAGAGTTAGTGAGGGACAGCACATCTTTGAAGTCAAACTCAGACTCTGCATTGATCACAAGTTGTAACTTGGCTAGAGAATTCAGTAATGTAAGCATTTTAAGTCAGTAAATAATTCATGTATTTTCTTAGCCTTTAGTTGGTGTGTTTTTCTACCAGTTTAAAAGAATATAAAGGATAATTTTTGTTTCACTTGTAATTTAAGTAGTTAATGCTAATTCCCATGGGCGAGGGGAGGGTTGATTATACTGTAAAGCACTTTACCTATTTCTAATTAAATTTTTTAATCACAGTATTAAATTAAAACTAGTACTTATAAATCATTGATGTAATGCTGTCATGCATTGATGATGAAACTATTTTGTCAATTATGAAGTGTTTTATTTCAGTTTAACTCTTATTCTCAGCTGTCAACACATTTATTGACTACTAATTAGGTGTTTGGTGCTGAGAAATGTGTCAGACCTTCCCATGCTTTCAGAAAGTTAATAAAGAAATCCTTTTCTAGCTGGATGCAGACAATAGGAATACAACTGTGTTTTTCTCTTAAAGTTTGATTGTAAAGTCTCCCTGAAGGTGTCCTCTTAATAGTACTAATTTCCTCATCTGTGAAAGCTTAAGATTCGTTAAAATTATTTCAACAAGTAGCCAGAAGCCCTCAGAGCTGTTCACTTCCTTTTATTTGAAGTGCACACTCTAAAAATTGAGGGAAAGTGAGGGTGGTGTCTTACACGCACAAGGCGGGTGTTCCTTAAATATTCCTATTTCCCTTGAATATACCTCTTATCTGCAAGTAGCCCCCCTAGGACAGTCTCTGTGTAGAACACAAGCACCTTCATCTGGGTAGGGATATGAGAGAGGACCCAAACAAATAGAAAACTATTATTATATGCCACAAGGGTGCACATAATCAAAGTTTCTTCTGGAGGTGATCGGTAATGGTGTCATGCAGAAGGTGGAGCCTAAATATTCACTGCCAGGTAAGGGATTGGTTAAGTATAGATCATTGTTTCTCAAAGCTGAATAATTAAGATTTACTGAGTCAAAATTTAGGGAGTGGGTGTGAGGATTTGATTTTTAAGAATCTTCCCAAGTAACATGTGCACTGAAGATGCTCCATCAGACCACTTGGAGGATGGAATGACATGAGCAAGGGCTGTGTCGTGGGAGTAGACAGTACTTTCCTTCATTCAACCATATTTATTAAGCACCTTATGTTCTAAATGCTTTGAATGTGACTGGCTGATTTTTTTTACACAGGAAGATGAGAAACTAACACAGCAATTTCATTTGCATTAAAATCTCTTCATACTAAGGGGGGAAAAGACATTCCCCCAACTAACTTGCAGGATGCTTGGTATATATTTTTCAGCTCTCCTCAGCTAGACGGCAGGCACTTCTCTTAGAAACATTAAAGGTGAAACAGACCGTCCTGGACCCAATCCCTCCTTCTTTGAAGTTGCCCATCGCTGTCAGTTGCTACTGGTTGCAGCACTCGGAGGTCAAGGCAAAACTACATCATCTACAAGCCTTGCTGCTGGGGATGCTGCAGGGGCCCTTGCATGCCATAATCGACAGCCCTGGTAGGTATCTGGAAATTCCTTAAGTCTATTTTTCCATGTTACTTACATGTAACAGAAAATCTTGTTTTTTTTTTGTTGTTTTTTTTTTAAGTCATGTATTATCTATTCCTATCAGTTGTATTAGAACTTAGAAATGGAGGTGCCTATACATTACCAATTCATTGATAAATGCTTTTGAGCACTTCCATGAGTCAGGCTTAGTGCTGAAGGGCTTGATTTCACAGTAGTGATGTACTGTTACCACCTAATCCTGTAACCTATGAAGCGTGACAGGGTAATACATCAGTTGCATTTTATATTCCACCTTTTCTATTCTTTCCTGCCCCTATCAACAGTGCTACAGCAACATCAGCACTACCAACTTATTTAAAATTGCCCATTGGTGAAAGTAAACATTCATGTTTGTGCTTTTTTTTTTTTTTTTCCTCTTTTCTCCACTGCAAGTTCCCATTAGTTTGTAAGCAGTGATGGTCGAAGTATCGATAGTAACTTCTCTTTCTATTGGAGAAATATACCTTGAGGCAATTTTATCTGTGTTTCAATGTCAGGTGAATTCAATGTTGATGCATTGGAACAGTTCAGTTCTTGAATGGAATTCTTCTCTCTAAAGATTATGAGTGCTGTAACACTTCCTGTAAACATGTATAATCGTTTACACCCTCTAGAACAGTAATGGCATCATGGAGAAGGTGAGGCCTAAGGCTGTCATCCATCTAATAGCGTAGCCACTAGCCACATTTCAAGCGCTCAATAGCCACATATCACTAGAGGACAGCGAAGAAATAGAGCCTTTCCACCATGGCACAAAGCTCTACTGGCTAATGCTCCTCTGAAATGTACTTTTTAAAATAAGTTAAATGAAATAATGAACCAGCATAGACTCCAAGGTAGCCCAAAAGTGAGAGAAGCTGCCAGAAAGGGACTGTTTTATTTAATGCAGAACAAGTAAGGCCCACCAATGGTTAAGACACCAGTTTAGGGCATTTCCTCTCATTGAATAATTTATGAAAATTTCCAGAGCATGAGCCTATTAAATTTTTTCCTGAGTCCAACCGAAGGGGCATGTCAAGGGTCTGTTTCTTTTCTTTTAGGAATTGTGGACCTGGCACCCAGGCAGGCTCAGTGCCTTGCTGCTCGCTAGTTGGTAAAAGGTGGGCCTCTTTTCTGTTACCTTCCAGTCGGTCCGCATGTCATGTTGTATGTCCCTGCTCAAGCTTCTGTGAGGAATACATGCAGTTATTCTTTCCCAGGGCAGCGGTTTCTCGCCCTTGTCCTCGGTGCGTGAAGAAGTGATCTGCCACATTCTCCATGAGTCTTACTTTGTTTCCCTCCCATTAAACAGAAGTTAAAATGTGCTTTGAACACATGGGCTGTTTCTTTAAGTGCACTATAGCCTGGAGGTCTCCATGAAAGGAAGTTTGGTAGAAGAGAACAGTAAAGAGAATGACATTTAATAGTAATTTATGTTTTTCGGAGACAACTTTAGGGTCTGGTGAGTTTGATGCAGATATATTTAAGGTCAAGTGGAAGACCGGTGGAAGAGATTATTTTAAGGAAAAAAAATATTTTGGGGTTGAGTGAAGTTAGATTGTCATTAAAAAGGCATTTCAGAATAATATTTGTTTATACAGCAAGGCTTTTATATTGACATTAAAATAGTAAAGAGCCAGAAAAGAAAAGCACTTTGGTTATTTAAACCAATTTTTTTCTTTATGGAATTTGAAGTTTTATAGATATATATATGGAGAAACTTACAAACTGACACAGTATTTTAGGAACTACTGCCCTTGGGTTGTTTCCTTGTCTAGGTAAAGATCTGCAGAAGGATGGTGCTAAGATGTTGTACCAGGAGTTCCAAAGAGTGAAGGAGCAGACGCAGCCGAGCCCGAGACTGGATTTAGACACAGCTCACATCTTCTGTCAGTGGCAGAGCTGTCTGCTGATGGGGATGTATCTGAATCAGCTGCTGTCCACGCCTCTCCCAGAGCCAGACCTAACTCGGTGAGCACCAAGGGAAACTAGTTCAGATGACTGCACACAGAAGCAAATACCTTTATTTACATTTAAAGCAAAGAGGTTATGTTTAAAAATTAATCTTAGGATAATTGGTCTTGGAACACTATGACAGCTAAAGAGCTGGAAACAAGAAAAATATTAAATTATTTCTATATTCTCAAAGAAAATTAGGTCCAAAGTAAAAGAGGCAGTTGTTGGATGTAATTTGTTCCCTCATTCCTCTTAAGTTTATTCAGATGTCACGTTATAAAAACTTTTTCTGACCATCCTACTGAAATATTACTACTGTCTACTTCAGGTCACTCTAGTCCTATTACTCTTGTATTTCATAATTGCATTTCTTACCACTTGGCGTATTGTTCATTCGTTCATTCAAACATTCATTAAATGCCTACTTTGGTCTTTATTATAATGAACAAAACATTTTTTTTTAAAAACCCTCTGCTGTCTTGGAGGTTTTATTCTAGTGAGATGATTATTAGATGCTTAAATGGACTTTATCTCTGGCTTTGAGAGGCAGCCTATATGTCAGGAAGTGAGTATAATGTCTGACTATGGAAATGAGTGAGAAAGAAATGAAAGCAGTGTGTGAGCCAGTGAAAAAGTGGTAGGATCAGTGGGTTAGACATCCTGGTGGTTGTCCATCAGGAGGTACTTACTGGGATTGAATAAAATAAAAGGGAGATGGTTAGAAAATGGAATTGAGATTATATATAAACTGTGTTTCTCTCCACTTGAAAGTAAACTCTAGGAGGGAAGGGACTTGTCTATTTTACGTACTGTGTTGTCCCCATACCTAGCATATTGTAAATATGCAAATATTTATTGACTATAGAGTGATATATAGAGGCATGCAAAATATGCTGATGTGACTTTAAATGTTTCATGGTGAAAAGGTTCCTGAGCAGTGAACAGTGTTGTTAATATATTTCTGGGCATCATGTGTGAGCTAACCCTGGAACCCAAGTAAGATTAATGACCTTAGACCTATGGATACTTTACTTCTGGCCTTTAATAATTTAGGTCATTTTTGACTGGATCCTCTCTTGTTGCCAGAAATCCATTTAAAAAAAAAAAAACAACAGGATAAACAAGACCAAACAGTTCTTTGTGATTTCAGTAGAGGGCTGTTCTTGCATCTCAGCACTAAGGTTTTTTAAATGATGGTTTTTACACTGATTCAATGATGGTTCTACATAATAAAATTGTGGCTCCCAGTTAATCCCATCTTATATTTATGAAGTAGGTTTTTAGTCCAAGTGAATAAAGACCTTGCAAATGATGCCATTAAATTTCCTCTTATTTCAACAGACTACCTGTTTGGTTTATCAGAGGCATTTTTAATTCCTTTTCTTTGAAGTGTTAAGAGGCCTGCTCAACTTTGGTCTTGTTGTAGAACCAGCAAGCATCCATCATTGAATGTAACGTTAAAAATATCATGAGCCAAGACGTAATCTTTTTAATAACAACTCAGTTTCTTCCTTCAAGGAACAGATTCTTCTTAAGTAATTTTAATAATGATTTTGTAGAAGAGCTCTCAGTGTTTTCAGATGCATTCGTTGAAGCCATAATGACGTAAAAGATAAAATGACATAATGGTGGTGTCCCAGCGACTGAACCTCTGCTTTAACACCCTTCCTCTCTCCCCTGTTGAATAGGCTGTATAGCGGAAGCCTGGTGCATGGACTATGCCAACACCTGCTAACATCAACCACTGTAGAAAGTCTTCTGAGCATGTGTTTTGGGGCAAGGCAACTTTATGAACACCTATTCAATGCCACAAGGTCATATGCTCCTGCTGAGTTATTCCTTCCAAAGGGTAAATCAAATTCTAAAAAGAAAAAGCAAAAGAAACAAGGTGCCAGCTGGGCAAAGAACAGAGGAGAAACCCTCTCAGAAATCAGATGGTGGTATGAGAGTAGCAATCGGTTTGGGCTATTAATGGTTGAAAATCTGGAGGAACATACTTAGGCCTCAAAGTTTGAATAAATTCAATCTGCCACCAGATGTATTATTCTTACTTAAAATTTTTCTGTTATCTGCCTTGAAATGATTAACTTTTTTCTTTAGAACTAACCTGTTAGGGGATAAAAATTATAATAGATAATCTCTGAATTCCAAGATATTTTGTATTCTGCTTTTAATAAATACAACGTGATTTAACACATTAAGCCTGTTTTGTCTTCCGGACGGAAAGTATAGTGACTATCAAGGTGCTCAATGTGTTAAGAAACTTCTGTATTCCTTACATATATTTGAAAGCGTATTTGTACATCTCATGTTCAGATGCATTCGTTGTAGCCATGTTAATGATGGTGTCCTAGCGACTGAACCTCTGCTTTAACACCCTTCTCTCTCTCCCCTACTGAATAGGTTGTATAGTGGAAGCCAAACACAAAACTATATACCTCTAAGTAGTACTTAGTAAATGAGACTATGGCAGGGTTGATTTGTTGAGTGCTTTAGATATATAATATTCCAGGTTTTACAGCAGAGGTTGAAATCCAAACAGCCCCAACAAAATAAAAAACAAGCATCTTGGTCTACAGAAGGAGGAAACACTTAAGAAGAAATTATGCAGCAATAACAGAATCTATTATTACTAATTTAGGAAGAGTGCATAGGGGTCCTTAGTAAGGAAGTTTGTAATCTCAATCAATCTCTCCCCCCTCACTTGGAAATTCGACCAACCAGGAGTTCAACTGGTCTCTATGCCGTGCACTAACCACCAGGGGGAGGTGCAGAACAAAAAAGGTCCCAGCCAGCAGCTGGCAGCTGGGGAAGGGAGGCCCCAGCTGGCAGCTGCTAGGGACCCTACCCGTGCATGCATTTCGTGCACTGGACCTCTAGTGTAAACATAAATTTTAAAGGTCTTTCATGATAATTGACCAAGAGTAAAAGAATTCAAAATTAATTACAATTTTAGAAAATAAAGACCTCTGTAGCTAGAAAGATGCTACAATTGCCTTTTTCTCCTGTTTACACAAATGAATCCATGATTATGCCTGTTACCCTATCTGTAAAATGGGATCAGAATAGTTCAAACGATGACCTACAGATAAAATAACATGTATCTTTAAATTACATAGCCTGGTACTAAAAACATGCAATAAATGATTTTTACATCCATCCATGAAAACCAAGAGCAAAGCAAGGGATCTGGGGAAAGTGAGAGTGCTGAGTTGAAAAAGTCAAGGCACCAGAGGTTGCAGAGCTAATAGAATTTTGCAGATGCAAAGGAGGTCAACACTATCAACTCTGGCTGAGATGGGACTGGAACATGAGAGTGTTGAGCAGTTTCAGCAGAGCTGTTAGCAGAAGGCCGAGTGCAGAGGTGCCAAAAGAATGTGAATAGGCGGCCAAGCTCAACCTCAGAGAAGAATGAAAAAAAGACCGAAGGAATTGTGCCTGTGTAAGGAGGACTTGTGCCCTTCCTGCCCTTTTGTCTTGTCAAGGCATTTTCTGCAGTGCTTTAAAACCCAATTTGAAAGATCACTGGATGTATTTAAAGATAGGAAAAAACTAAGAGCAGATCTTATCACTTCTTGGAAATGTCCTCTTCCTGCAACTGCCAGGATTATTTCCTGGCCCTACAGGATAATCCTAAGGAAGTCAAACCCAGCTTTCCCCCGTAGGTTTCCAGAGTTCTCTGGGTGCCCCCCTCTAGCACATGCTGTTTGGCTGGCACAACATGAACCCAGAGCAGCACCTGGAATGTAATCACCCTCAAGACCAGGCAGGAGAAAAGGACACACTCTCACTAGTACTTACTGTGGTGTCCTTAGTGCTTTTCGCAAGGTGTTGTGGGATATATATTGGACAGATATATTAATAAGATGCCTCCCACTTTCTGCAACAACTGTATTAGCCATACAGGACAAGTAGCTATGGCATTTCTTTCCAGTTATGAATAATGTTAAAATTCAAGCCCATCTAGCTATAAAACTTCTAAGATGAGAACCATATGCAAAAGAAAGAGATTTTAAAATTGAGAGGCACCCTAGCCAGGTTGGCTTAGTGGATAAAGCAGTGGCCTGCAAAAAAGGGTCCTGGGTTCAATTCTAGTCAAGGACGCATACTTGGGTTGCAGGCTTGATCCTCAGCCAACATCAGGGATGTGTACAGGAGGAAGCCAATCAATTTGTTTCTCTCACATCAATGTTTCTCTTTGTCTCTCCCCCACCCTTCCACTTTTTCTAAAAAATCAGTGGAAAAATATCCTCAGGTGAACAAAACAAAGTAAATAAATAAAAAGCAAGCTCTATCTGATTTGGCTCAATGGATAGAGCATCAGCCTGCAGACTGACGGGTCCCAGGTTTGATTCCGGTCAAGGGCATATACCTTGCTTGCAGACACATCCCCAGTAGCTCATCGATATTTCTCTCTCATCGGTTTCTAGCTCTCTATCCCTCTCCCTTCATCTCTGTAAAAAATTAATAAACTATATTTTAAAAACCCACACTAATAAAAGAGTAAAATGCAAATTTGCTGTACCTTCGTGATGCCCACCAGCCAATCAAGAGAGATTATGCAAATTAACCCAACAAAGATGGTGGTTTGATTTGCATACGCAGGTGCTGAGGCTTGTGTTCTGCCCCGCCCCAGCTGCTCTGGGCAGCATTTAAAGGTGGAATGGTGGCTTCAGGCCCAAGCAAAATGGCAACTCAAGCCAGATCGAAAGTGGTGCCAGCAACCAGGGAAAGGAAGACCTATTCTTGCACGAATATTTGTGCATCAGGCCTCTAGTAAATAAATAAAATAAAATTGAGAAGCATGAGTGCACTAGAAGCATGATATACCAGTCTGTTAAAATGGGAAACAGATGAGACTATATATAAGTAGAAAAGTATTTCTAGCTAGTTTCACTAGATTCAGTTTTTAGGGAGAGAAAAAGAATTTCCCATGAACATGTTGCAATGTATAAGTCTTGATAACATTTAGATGGCTGGTTAAAAAGACTAAACCTTTTACTATTT